GGGGAGCCGCCGTGGGGCTCGCCGCCGGGGGAGCCGCCGTGGGGCTCGCCGCCTTGGGAGCCGCCGTGGGCCCGCCGTGGGGCCCGCCTCCGTAGGAACCACCGCCGTCGGATCTACCGCTGTGGGGGTCGTTTCCGTGTGGGCGCCGCCGCCGTGGGAACCGCAGCCGTGGGAGTTGCCGCAACGGTACCTGCTGTGGTAGCTAGGGGGATGCGCCTCGATGGGTCGCCGTGGTGGGAGCCGCCGCCGGGGAACCGCGGGAACCGCCACTATGGGAGCCACCTCCGTGGGAGGCGCCGTGGGGGCCGCCGCCGTGGGAACCGCCGCCGTCGGAACCGCATCCGTGGGAGCCGCCACCGCGGGAGCCGCCTTCTTGGAAACCGCTTCCGTAGGAGCCGCCGCCTTTGGGGCCGCCGTAGGATCCGCCGCCGTGGGAGGCACCGCCGTGGGGGCCGCCGCTGTGGGAGCCGCGGTCGTGGGAACCGTTCCCGCGGGAGACGGTGCCTGAAGTGGGCCGCCCAGGGACGAAGGTAGGAACCGCCTTGGGTGGGGCCGAAGTTGAACGCCACGTACAAACCGAAAGGGAAAAGGACGTAGTGGCACAAGTTGGACCGGCCGAGCGCATAGAGTGCCTGGCGCCGATGCTGCCATCGTACGGGGGACACATGCAGCCTGAGGGGAACATGTGGGTGGACGTGAACGTGAGCGTGAACCGGTGCACCGCCGTTGCGAGAACGCCAAATCAGGTGCAGGAGGATGATGATTTAATTTCGCGTGGGTGTCGACGGACAATCAACGTCTACGTGGGCACAGTCGGGGAGTCGACCACGCTGGTGTCAAGCACCAGCATAGACCTCGCAGTGCATTGCGGCGAGTGTTGCTGCACCCCGCCGCGTGCCGCAGCACCTGCGAGTGAGACAGGAGCGACCTGTCCCAAGCACTACAGGCCCGGAGGAAACGAAACGATGATGGCCCACGGACGCCGTTGCCAACAGCTGGGAGCCGCGGCGATGGGACCACCGCCTGAGGGAGCCGCCTTCCCTCCGCTTAGCCGCCGCGCGGAAATCGCCGCCGTGGGGGCCGCCATTTGGTGCGTGGGGGCCGGCTGCGTGGGAATCGCCGCGTGGGTGAGCCGCCTACGTAGAAGCCGCCGCTGTGGGAGTCGCCTCCGTGGGAGTCGCCTCGTGTGAGCCGCGTTGGGGGCCGCCGCCGCGGGAGGCGCCGCCATGGGAACCGCCGCCGTTGGGGCCGCCTGACCAGGAACCGCCTACCTCGGAGCCGTTTCCAGAAGAGCCGCCGCCGTGGGAGACACCTCCACAGGGACCCCCCGTCTTGGGAACCGCCGCTTCAGGACCCGTTTGCGTGGGAGGTGCCGCCCGGGGAGCCGCCGTGGGGCTCGCCGCCCTGGGAGCCGCCGTGGGCCCGCCGTGGGGCCCGCCTCCGTAGGAACCACCGCCGTCGGATCTACCGCTGTGGGGGTTGTTTCCGTGTGGGCGCCGCCACCGTGGGAACCGCAGCCGTGGGAGCTGCCGCAACGGTACCTGCTGTGGTAGTTAGGGGGATGCGCCTCGATGAGTCGCCGTGGTGGGAGCCGCCGCCGGGGAACCGCGGGAACCGCCACTATGGGAGCCACCTCCGTGGGAGGCGCCGTGGGGGCCGCCGCCGTGGGAACCGCCGCCGTCGGAACCGCATCCGTGGGGGCCGCCGCCGTGGGAACCGCCTTCTTGGAAGCCGCTTCGGTGGGAGCCGCCGCCTTGGGAGCCGCCGTGGGAGGCGCCGCCGTGGGGGCCGCCGCTGTGGGAGCCGCGGTCGTGGGAACCGTTCCCGCGGGAGACGGTGCCTGAAGTGGGCCGCCCAGGGACGAAGGTAGGAACCGCCTTGGGTGGGGCCGAAGTTGAACGCCACATACAAACCGAAAGGGAAAAGGACGTAGTGGCACAAGTTGGATCGGCCGAGCACATAGAGTGCCCGGCGCCGATGCTGCCATCGTACGGGGGACACATGCAGCTTGAGGGGAACATGTGGGTGGACGTGAACGTGAGCGCGAACCGGTGCAGCGCCGTTGCGAGAACGCCAAATCGCAATGCATTGCGGCGAGTGTTGCTGCACCTCGCCGCGTGCCGCAACACCTGCGAGTGAGACAGGAAGGACCAGTCCCAGGCACTAAGAGGCCCAGGGGATCCGAAACGATGATATTCATGTTGTTGATGATGGTGGTGATGATGCAGATGCTGCTGATGATCGGATGGTGGTGATGATGCTGACGGCGATGATGATGCTGATTATGATGATGAGAGGATGTTGCTGCTGATCCTGGTGGTGATGGGGATGATGTTGGCGTTGGTGATCATGCTGGTTGGCGTGATGATGAATCTGGTTTTGCTGATGATGGTTATGGCCAGGCTGCAGATGACGATGATGCTGATGATGGTGGTGGTGATGCGGCTGGCTGTGTTGATGTGGATGGGGGTTCTGATGGAAATGCTGCTGATGATGATGATGATGCTGATCATGATGATGACGGCGGTTCTGTTTTTTTTTGTACGGGAATGGTGGTGATGGTGAAGACGGTGACGAAGATGATGATGATGATGGTGCTGGTGGTGCTGATGATGCTGATGGTTGTGATGCGGGTGATGGTGATGCTGTTGTTGATGATGATGCTGATGGTGGTGATGATGGTGTTGACCATGATGGAGCGGGTTGTGAATGGGAGGAACGGTGGGGGGGACTGGTAAGAGGAGGGTGATAAGGATGTTCCGGGGATCGAGAATCGAATATCGATGTGGTCGACCATCATGAGTCTTTTCGGTTTGGATTTTTCAGAAGCATTTCATCGGCACGACTGAACCCACCCCAGGTTTATGACCAACACGATTTCAAAGACACGTCTGGGAACAACTGTTTAATGGGGGCGGGGATGACGAGGGTGTTTCGGAATCGGCGTATTGGGAGGGAAACAGGAACGATGAACGGGAACATGAGGAGGAGGAGGAGGAGGAGGAGGAGGAGGAAGAGGAAGAACAATAAAGAGAAGGAGAAGGAGAAAGAAAAGGAAAAGGATAAGGAAAAGGACAAGGACAAGGATACTGATGAAACTAATACGACTACGAATGCTAAATTTACTAAGAATAACCATAACAATGCTACTGCTACTACTATTATTAGTAATAATAATAGTAATAGTAGTAGTAATAATATTATTTCTAATAATAGTATACAGAAAACGAATTAGAATAATAATCTTACTGCTACTGCTACTACTACTACTACTACTACTACTACTACTACTACTACTACTACTACTAGTACTACTACTACTACTAACAATAATAATAAAAACAATAATAGTAATGATTATAATCAAAATACGAATACTACCACGAACAGTAATAATGATACTACTACTACTACTACTACTACTACTACTACTACTACTACTATTACCACTAATACTAATACTAATACTAATACGAGTAATCATACTAATACGAGTAATCATGATATGAGTAATCGTAATAATGATAATATTGATAATAAGAATAATCATAATACCAAAAGGAAGGAGAGGAGGAGGAGGAGGAGGAGGAGGACGAGGAGGAGGAGGAGGAGGAAGAGGAGGAGGAGAAGGAGGAAGAGGAGGAATAGGGAGGAGGAGGACACCTACGGTCCCAGAGGGTGCGTTCGCATGCCGCCGTCGCTCATTTCGGCACACCCCTCACACGTGTCGCGTCTCACAGGGAGCTCCACCGACGGCCCCAGTAGGTATGATCGCATTCTGTGCCTCGCCCGTGTCGGCACACCCCTCACGTTTCGCGCCCTACAGGGGCTCCACCAACAGTGGTATCAGTGGGCGCGCTCGCATGCCATTCCCCGCCCGCTTCAGCACACCCCTCGCGTCGCGCCCCACACGGGGACCCCATCTGCGGCCCCGGTGGGTGCGTTCGCATGCCGACCCTCACTCGTGTTTAGGGGAACGAACAATGACATAAGCATAAAAGCTCGGAGGTCTGCGCGGATTTCTCGGATCGGCGCTGGCGGCGCCTCCAGCGCCTCCCCTGGCGCGCTCCGCGCGCCAGGTAGGGGGGTCCAGCGCCGATCCGAGAAATCCGCGCGGACCTCCGAGATTTTGTGTTTGTGCCATTGTTTGTTCCCCCAATTTCGGCACACCCCTCGCGCGCTTCGCGCCCCCTGCGACACCAATGTCAAGGGAGGAAAAACCACCCGGACCCGACAATTGGCGTTTACTGCGCGGCCCTGGGCGTCTATTAGACAGCCCTGCCCTGTTTGCTTCCTCTTCTGGACGCGTTTGCTAAACTGCTTTGCGTGTCGGCGTGATTCTTGTGAGATGGGATTTTCTGCGCTCTACACTTCTATCTGTCGGGGATTTTCTGCTTGTGTCGGGGATTTTCTGCCCTCTACAATATCGGGATTTTCTGCGCTCTACAGTTGGCGCGATTTCTCGTGTCGGGGATTTGCTGCTCTCTACACTGTCGCTAAACGGCTTCTCGTGTCGGGGACCTTCTGCTCTCCACAATGGGCGCGATTTCGGCACACCCCTCGCACGCTCCGCGCGCCCCACGGGGAGCACGGCACGCCTCCGCGTGCCTGCCCCGCGGCCCCCTGGCCGCGCAGACCCCTGCGGCGCGCAGCCCGTGGAGGGAGGACCACGCCCTGCTCTGCACGCGTCTGCACGCGGTCCGGCCCATCGCTGGGCACTTCGCTTTCCTGCTGGGGGGGGCTCCTCCTCCTCCTCCTCCTCCTCCTCCTCCTCCTCCTCCTCCTCCTCCTCATTCTTCCTCCTCCTCCTCCTCCTCCTCCTCCTCCTCCCCTCTCCCTCTCCCTCTCCCTGTCCTCCTCCTCCTCCTCCGCCTCCTCCTCCTCCTCTTCCTCCTCCCCCGGCTCTGCAAGCGTCTGCACGCGGTCAAGCCCATCGCCGGGCACTTCGCTTTCCTGTTGGGGGGTGGAGGGGGGACGCGGCGTGGGGAGCCCGCGCAGAGGCCTTCTGGCTGGGGATGGTGCTGGAGCTCACCGCCACGCTGTTCGGCGTGCCGGGTATGGGAGCTGACGCGGGAGGTGGGATGAGACAAGAGGGTACGGGGAAGGGGGAGAACAGAGACGACGAGGCGGGCGAGGTGGAAGGGGCGGAAGGAAGAGAAGGCGAGACTGTGAGGAACGGCAGGTGACGACTAGTAGTCAATGCGCGCTGTCGGTGCAAACACACGGAATTAATGGGGGTCAGGGAGGAAGTGGGCACAGCTTCATGCCCAAACGAGCGAGGGCGTTGAACGGACACGAGTGGAGAGCCGTATGTACGGCGGTTCACCCTGGCAGTGTTGATATGAGCATTGCATGTACAAGCGGTCATTACCAGGACTGTTTGATGGCATGACCACGGGTATAATACACAACATACTAGCTAGCATTCGAAACAATGGCGTGGAAGTCTTATCTGGTCGCGGTCGTCTGATTACCCTTGGAATCCGCCAGCAGTATAAGTTTCCCGAACCACTAGTTGAAACGTCCTGGGTATGGCATTTTTCATGCTGCAGTCCATTGGGTGGTTGTCCATTGGTACGCAGTGCAAGTGACGATCACAAAGCTAAGCCTATGTCGTTGGAGGCCTGCTAGAGGGATATTTGGATTATCATTACGATGACGATGGCGACAACGACAACGACGAGGATGAGAATGAGGGCGTGGACGAGGATGAGGATGAGGATGCTGCTGAGGAGGAGGAGAGGGAGGAGGAGGAGGAGGAGGAGGAGGAGGAGGAGGAGGAGGAGGAGGAGGAGGAGGAGGAGGAGGAGGAGGAGGAGGAGGAGGAGGAGGAGGAGGAGGAGGAGGAGGACGAGGACGAGGAGGAGGAGGAGGAGGAGGAGGAGAAGGAGGAGGAGGTGGAGGAGGAGGAGGAGGAGGAGGAGGAGGAGGAGGAGGAGGGGGATGATGCGGACGATGCTGACGATGCTGATTATGCTTCTGCTGCTGCTGTTGCTGCTGCTGATGCTGATGATGATGACGATTGTGATGGTGTTGATGGTGGTGATGATTTTGATGATGGTGGTGACGATGATATGGCGTTGACGATGTTGCTGTGGCTGCTGCTGCTGATGATAATGGTGAATCTGTGGATGAGGCGGAGGCGGAGGAGGAGGAGAAGGAGGAGGAGGAGGATGATCCGAGTCCTGCAGTGACAGGCACACTTGGCAAGCAGCTGGTGTGCTACTCCAAGAGGGCCTCGGACAAGCGACGCCAACAGCTGATCTGGGTCTCCCAGCCACACCCGCTTCTCGCCCGCCGCCTCCCTCGTTCTCGTCGTTCTCGTCGTCGTCGTCGTCGTCGTCGTCGTCGTGTTTCTCCTTCGCTCCGTTGTTCTGTCGTCTCGTCGTCGTCGTCCTCATCCTCCTCCTCCTCCTCATCTTCCTCCTCCTGCTCCTTCAGGCCCAGGCGCAAGACAGACCCTGACAGCAAGAGGTCGGACGCCCGAGCGACTCGGGGCCAGGCTGCCACTCTTTCAAGTGATCGTGTCAAACCCACCCCTGATGTATGGGGGAAAAGCGACGGCTGGCTATCAAGAGCCCACCCCTGTTTTGCAGTACCTTCACCTGGAGCTGGAGGAGGAGGATTTCAGGACTGATAGTGAGGATAAAGATACAGAGGCGTCTCCTGAATGTGAGCTTGAGCTTCAGGAGATGGACGGGGTCCCGGAGCAAACAAATCTCCCAACTTGTGCCAGCATCCACAACTCTTGGTCCGGAGCCTTGAAAGACCTGTTGTGGAGCAGCCTCGCGGTGCGGATGGCACGTAAGGCAGCACCGCCAGAGTTCGTGCAGCGCAGCCTGGGATTTCGAGCAGACCCTGAAGCTGCTATAAGACATGGCGACCTTTTCTTGCAGTGGTCAAACACCATGGAGTTGTATTCGTGTGAATTGTATCAGGTGCACCCGCAGGAGAGGCGTCATTTCCAAGGGCGAGGTCGTCTGCAGGACCCAGTCAAGACCACCATGGGTGGTGGCAAGCCGTGGGCGACGGCATCTGTCCAGTTCAAAGTGGCGGCCCACGGTGTCCAGCCATCTCGCGGCGCTTGCCACCGTGAAGGACGGCCAGGTCGGCTCGCCGCGGGCCAAGCATCTGCGAGGTAGACTGTTCGCCTTGGCATCCACCATTCCCGTTTGTCAAATCGTACCCCTTCCTGGACGCCGTAAAGAAAGATGGATCAGATCTCTTAGAACACTGGGCGGCGTCACTAAGGAATCTCCTGAAAAGCTTGCCGAAGCCGCCCAAAGAGCCGCGGGGCAGTCGCAGAGAGCAGTGGCCAGGCAGAGGCTTCATGGCTTTCGCGATTGGGTGTGCCAGAGCTCCGTCGGCGGCATGGGCGCACTTCGCCGGCGCGTGAAGGGCCCGATGGCGGGGGTCAGCGAGATACGTTATGCCGAAGACACCACTTTTGGCGGGGCTTCGCCCATGGAGGCCAATCGCGCGGTGTGGGACGAGCTCTGGTCGCCGCCGCAGTTCAACAGCTACGAGACGCTGGGAGTCCTGCGGCAGGCCAGGGGGTTTGGGCGCCACGGGGGCTTCCGCCCATCACGCTAGACGACCTGGAGGCGGCGCTGGCGGCCATCTCGCCGCCCAAAGCAGCAGCCGCCGACGGCGCGCGGCAACGAGATGCGCGGTGGCTGCCAGAACTGGGCCGCCACCAGCTTTTTTTTTTTTTTTTTTTTTTTTTTCGCAAGCAAATCGAGCTTGCAGTGGCGCGGTCATGGCAGTGGCTCACGGCAAGCATCGTTCTTTTGCGAAAGCCTGATGTGCGCCAGGATCGCGCCGTAGGCCTTCTAACCTGGCTGGGCCGTCTGTGGAGTCGCTCGAGATCTCGTCCCGCGGAGGTCTGACCCGAGGGTCGCTCGGGGCCGTGGGGCGCTGCGGTTCGAGGCAGCAGTGCTCTGCGGGGGGCTTTGCGTAGGTGCTGCGCCGATGAGGCAGCTCTCTCATCAGCGCTGCCAGATTTTTGTTCTGCGTCTAACCGTTGGGGCGTTGACGCCTTCTATGCTACCATTCGGTGGCGCAAGATCGTGGCGCGCGCGCTGGATCTGGACTTTCCCGCTTTGTGTCTTTCTCTGGAATCCCTCCTGCGCGCGGGGCCGAGGGTCCTCCGCGACGCGGGGTGCGTTGGCCCGCCCATCTTGCCGTCGGGAGGCTTGATCGTTGGAGCTCGAAGGGCGCCCGACTTTGCGCCGCATGTCAGATGTCTTCGATTTGCGAAGCCTCTCTCGCAGCCAGTTCGCTCGTGCAGATGCGAACTTGGATCGGTGAAGTCGCCCGGCGAGCGGAGGGGATTCGCCGCGATGTTGTGGGCCACCTTGTGCGTGCGGAAATCGCCTTGGCTCGGGGTTGCGAGAGGGGGTGTTTGAAGCTCGCGTCAAAACTTACCGTCGTTGCATCTGGGCTCTCGGTGGCACGGGGGATCCAGGCTGGCCTAGGATCTCGTGGCGTCGTCATTGAAGTTGCGTCGGTGGCGGCTGATTTGGGCATTGAGCGCGGCAGTGGCATGGGGATTTCCAAGCCTCGCCATGCCGAGCGCGTCGCCCAGGGCCATCGGCGCGTGCGTCGCATCATCGAGCTTGTCAGAGTTGCCCCGCGCAAGGTGGGGCCTAAACTTGTCCTCGCGGGGGCCCTCCCCCAGGCCTCCTATGCTTGGAAAGGTTTCGGGGTTGCCCCTTCTGCGCTGGTTCAGCTGGGGCGCGCTCTAGCGGGCGCCCTAGCCAGAGGCGCGGTGGGCAGGCGCCTCGCTTCGATCTCGGCGCTGGAAGTGGCCCCCAAGGACCCCGCTTTTAGTTTGTCCTTTTGTGGTCTCTAGAGGGCCCTTGGAACTGGGCGGCGCCGTCAGGGGGCGCGTTTGCAAGCCCTGGGGAGCTGCGTTCGGAGGCGTGTATGACCTCGGATTTGGAGCAGGAGGTTGCACATTCGATCGAGGCCCAGCTTTGGGCAGGTGCCTCCAAATTCAGGAGCGGTCGCGGCGCAGAGGCAGGCGTCGACTTCGCTGTCGCTCGGCGTCGTCTGTCTCGCCAGAGGAAAAAGGATGTCGAGCATGCTGCCCTGCTTAGGGCCACTCTCACTGGTGCCGTCTGGGCCCGCGCCCGCATCGTCAGCGCGGGTGGGGTGTGTGATGAGCTGTGCCCGCGCTGTGGAGTGTCTGTTGAAGCGGGCGCCCGCAGGTTTTGGGAGTGCCAGTGCAATTCTGAGTTCCAGGATATTTCGGAGGCCTCGGCTCGACGCGGGGTCGCAGCGGCCGACGAATGTCAGATTTTCTGGCTTCGCGGTCTCGCGCCCAAGTTTTGGGCCCGCGTTCCTCCTCCCCCCGACTCGCTTCTCTTCGCTGCGCCAGGTGCCTTTCCCTCGGTGGTGGGGTGTCGCATCTGGGGTGCGGGGGGCGCTAGCGGGGGTGGTGGTGGTGGGGTTCTCGAGGGGTCGTAGGCTGAGGCGGGTGTCTTGGGGCGTCGCGGTGTTTGGGCAAAATTTAAAGGAGCTCCCAGGTTCTGTTGATTCGTCGAGGCTCGCCGTGATTGCTGGGGGTGGCATCCCGGGCAAGCAGAGCGCGTGCCGTGGGGGCTCTGGGCCCATCTCTTGTTTTTAGAGATGAGCCCCGAGGGCGCGCAGCTCGGCTACGCAGCCGATTCTGCATGCGTTGCTCGCGGCGTCTCCCGTGTTGCTCTTGAGAGGAGCGCCCGCGTGAGTAGCCGCCGCGATCTGTGGTCTCGCGTGCGTGAGCTGCTTGGCGTCAGGGACCTGCTCCTTGTCCGTGTGCCTAGCCGTCTGGAAGTCAGGGGGGCTCTGGACAGAGGCCGCAGTCCGTGCTTTGTTGTGGCCGGCGCGGTCGCGGACCAAATTGCTGGCTTCTTTGGGCAGGATGTTGCGGCCCCTTTCAGTGTGTGTTAGCTCATCGGTGCAGATGGCCGACACTATCGCCCGTAAGATTCAGAATGACCTCCTCAGCGTCATGAGTAGTATCTTGGAAACTGAGGGTGAGAGACCCCCATCGCCCCGCCAAGTTCAGGGTTCGGCGCGCGAGAGCCAAGCTGCTTCTTTCTGCGGCCCTGAATTCTGAGCATGCGTGCCCGCAGGCTGCTGGGGATTTCGGTCAGTGCCGTAAGTGTGGGCGCCGTGCCAATGCCTCGGAGCTCGCGGCCTTCCTTGGGACCCCGTGCCGCCCGACGTCCTGGTCTGGGGCGGTGTTGAGGCCCGCGGGGGCCGAGTGTGTCCGCTCGAGGGGGGCGCGCCCCGCCCGCCAGCAGTGTTTCTGGCCTGGCAGAGATGTCTTGTTTTGCATTGTTTGTGGTTGTTATCGCACGAACCAGTTGCGAGAACTGGCCAGTGTATGCAGTTTTAATTTCAGTAGAGCGGGCGCCTAGAACTTATCTAGGATAGGCAGAGGGCTCCCGCCTGGGAGCTGCGTTTGGGGCGGAGAGCGCCAGGGGCGGATGGGGGCGGGGGGGGCGGGGCGAGCGGAGGGGGGGGGGGGGGGCGCCGCGGCCCGCGGCGCGACGGGCGGCGTTCGACCGCGCCGCCGTCGCCAACAGCGGCATCGGGCGCCGCCCCGCATTCGCCCCCCCCCCCCCCCCCCCCCCCCTCCCCCTCCCCCCCGCGCTGCTGCTGCTCGTGCCCCGCCTTGACCCCTTTTCCTGCGGTCATCGAGACCTTGCCCCGTGCTCCTCCTGCTCCTTCGTTTGGTCCCTGATCCAGGCAGGGGGCAGAACAGCTTCCCACGATGGGCGCCCCCGCCCATGTTTTCCTGTCGCTCTCCCCTCCTTGGTCCAGACCTCCTCCTCCCGTTCCTATCGCGCGACCGTCCGCCCCCGCTCCCCATCCTCGGGTGCGGCCGAGAGGGGGGTGGTGACTAGGGGGGTGGGTGTCGTGGCGCGGGCCATGATGTTTGCTGAGATTTCTCGGCGATTTGCCTTACTTCCTTGCGTCCCTGGCCCCCCCCCCTGGGCCGCGCGCGCGCCGCCGGCCACGATTTGCGCCCCCCCCCCCCCTCTTGGGCGCCCCCGTCTTGGCCGACCCCGGCGGAGCTCCGCCCGTTTGGCCCATGGCCAGCTCCACATCCCCCTCTCCCCTCCATTTTCTCTCTCTCTCTCTCTCCTCTCTCTCTCTCTCTCTCTCTCTCTCTCTCTCTCTCTCTCTCTCTCTTTTTTTTTTTTTTTTTTTTTTTTTGTTTTCTCTCTCGCCGAGCGCGTTCCGCTATTTGTGAAGTGCCTACTCGCAAACGTACGAAAAAAAAACGAAAAAACATGCGTCTGCCTCTGTCTAATGCATCGTAAATCCCTCGCGGTGGCGGATCCAGGCCATTTGCGAGTAGTTACTTTGCGAGTCGTGGAACGCGCTCGTCTCTCTTGTTCCGCGCCTTGTTTTCAGAGCCAAATGCCCTGCCCCTCCTCCTCCATCCCCTTTTTCCCCGAGCCGCTTGCGCTCAGGGATTCTTTTTTGCTCTATTGAAACCAGGCCTGTCTGCCGCTCTGGCGGCTGCGCTGCCGCCGTCGCCGCCCCGTCGCCGCGTCGTCGCCGCCCGTCGTCGGGGCCTGTCTGCTGGTCTGGCGGCTATGTTGCCACCCTCGCCGCCCCGTCGCCGCCGCGTCTCCGCCCGTCGTCTGGGCCTGTCTGTCGGTCTGGAGGCCATGTTTCCGCCGCCGCAGCCGCCGCCCCGTCGCCGCCTCGTCGCCGTCTCGTCGCGCCGCAGCGCGCGCGTTGTTCCGCGCGAGATTGCACCTCTCCTTTCTAACAAAACGTTCGGGTCGCCCCCCCCCCCCCCCCTGGAGTAACGGCCGCCCATATGGCACTGTAATTTGCATCCGGTTTTTCCTCATCGCCCATTCTAAAAATGAGCTCATACCATCCCAGGCAGGCTTGTGCCCCCTTTCATCCTTTGTAAAACAGGAAGCGCGCACTCGTCTATCAAACCCATCAGTTTTCAATGATACCTTGCAACGCGCGCGCTGTCGCGCGTGCGTGTCAACACCCTTCAAACATTTAGGTTTCGTGCGGATTTGAGAAGCGAGTGCCGCGACGCATATATAACAATGTGTCGCAACACGGATGTTCAACAACACATGCGCTCACGCCCTTGCAGATTTTTTGAGAAACACCGTCGGTGTTTCCACATTTCTATAACCTGCTACCAAACGGGCTTCTCGCGCGCGCATGTCGAAATCGTTCGGGCGTCCTTGCGCGCGTGCTGTCGCAATCATCCTTCGCAAACAATGGGGCGACGTGCGAGCGCGCGCGTCGTCGCGCGCGCATGCCGAAATCATTAAACAACCATAAGTTTCGTAAGGGTTTCCGAATCGAGTGCCCCGAAAACGCATGACAAACACGTGGCTTCGGAACGCGAATTGTCAAAACAAGCTAGCGCCCGCATTTTTGCGAATTCTGACCACAACCAAATCTGTTTCTTCAACAGCTGTCATCGTGCTCTGCCAAACTTGCCTCTGGCGCCGCATGCCGAACACGTCCGAGCGCCCCTGCGCGCGTGCTGGGGGGGGGGGGGGGGGGGGGGGGGGGGCGCGGTCCCTGTCGAACAATTGCGCGCGGGCCACTCGCGCGCGTCGGCCGCGCGCGCATGGCGAGTTCCTTCCACAACTTTGCATCGCCGATGCGAAGGCATCGCCATCGATTTCGGCGGGCGTGATCAACATCGGTGACGTCATTGCCCTTGCCGTCGTCGTCGTCGCCACCATCGTCGCCATTATCGCTATTCTCATCATCGTGTCTACCTTTGTTGGCGTCGCCATGATACTGCGCTCACATCAGTCACCAACTCGCATTGGAGTGCACGCTGGAGTGTGCCCAGCGGTCAGCGCCACCGCGGCCGCGTCGGTCGCGCCGCGCTAGCTGGCCGCTGCGCGCGCGAGCATGCGCCAGCCAACGCCAAGCACTCATCGCCATCGACGTCGCATTGGTTTTGCGAACCAAATTGGAGGTGGGTGGGTGGAATGATTGCGCGAGCAGTTCAAATCACTGCGGGCGCTGGTGGATTCTTATTTATGAAAGAGGTAACATGATCTGCCCCCCTGCCACACTGGACGTAACGGCCCCCCATCGCGTATTGCAAGGTACATATGGTTCTGCCCCATCGTCCATCCTAAATGTGACGTCGCACCGTCCCAGGCAGGCCAGTGCCGCCCATCTTCATCCTTTGCAGAAGTATGATGCGCGCGCAACCGTTTGCCAATCATCAGCGATTCTCATGGCAATCCCGTGCAACATATGGAACGACATGATCGCGCGAGCGTCGCCGCGCGCCCATGCCAACACCTCTCAAAAACTTCTTAGGCGTCGCAAGGATTTCAAAGTCGAGTGCCCCGGCTACAATAAATCCATATGGTTTCGCAGCGCTGGGTTTCAAAGAAGCTTGCGCCCGCGCTCTGGCGAATTCTTGGGGACACCATCGGTTTCTCAGCGTGTTCATGACATGCGACTACACGGGCCTCTCGCGCGCGCCGGTCGAAATCGCCCGAACGCCCCTGCGCGCGTGCTGTCGCGAGAGTCCTTTGCAATATGCGGGGCGGAGTGCGCGCGCGCGTCGTGGTGCGCGCGCGCCGAAATCTTTCAGGCACCTTGGTTCCCGTCGGGATTTCGGAACCGAAAGTCCAGAAATCATATGCAAACATATGGCTCGGCAGCGCCAGTTTCCAGGAAAGCCTGCGCTCGCGCCTTTCCAGTTTCCAGGAAAGCCTGTGCTCGCGCTTCTGTGACGTGTCAAGACAACCATACATTGTTCAGCATGTACACTTAATCCTGCCCAGCGGGCCTCTTCGCGCCGCATGTCGAAATCATTCGAACGCCCTTGCGCGCGTGCTGGTGTCCTGGTGTGTGTGTGTGTGTGTGTGTGTGTGTGTGCGTGCGTGTGTGTGTGTGTGTGTGTGTGTGTGGTTGGGGGGGGGGGGCACGATCCGTGTCAAATTACACCAAGCGCCACTCTCGTGAATTTTGTGTGTGTGTGTGTGTGTGTGTGTGTGTGTGCGTGCGTGTGTGTGTGTGTGTGTGTGTGTGTGGTTGGGGGGGGGGGGCACGATCCGTGTCAAATTACACCATGCGCCACTCTCGTGCTTCGGCCGCGCGCGCATGTCGAATTTTCCAACACCCTCATCAACAACGCGAGGGCGCCGTCATCGTCGTCGGCTTGGTCAGCATCGGCACCGTTACTGGCCTTCCCGTCGTAGTTGTCATCGTCGTTGCCAGCGTCGCTAGTATCATCCTCGCGTCTACCGTTGTTGACGTTGGCATGATACCGCGACAGCCCAATTCGCCGACTCGCACTGGAGTGCCCGTTGGGAAGTGCCCAGCGGTCAGCTCCACCGCGGCCGCATCGGTCGCGCCGCATTAAATGGCCGCTGCGCGCGCGAGCATGCGCGGGCTAGCGCGGCCGCAGATATGCACCAACCACTGCCAAACACTCATCGCAATCGCCGCCGGATGGGTTTTGCACTTCAAGTTGTCGGTTGTTGGGTGGGATGATTGCGCGAGCAGTGGGTTGGAGAATTCTTGGCGCAAGAATTTGTTGCACCACGTAGATTACACCACGCATGTTGGCCCACATCGATTGCACCACGCATATTGATAGAAACGCACTGTTTGGGGTTCGCGTTGGCTAACATCCTTGTAGACCACTCCCCCCCGTCGCACCCCCAGGCGTAAGTGTGAGGTGGACCGCGCGTTTTGCACACGATTGTTCATGGGGAATGTGACACTCGCAACATTTTCAAGGATGGAAAAGGGGTGGTTTTCAGAATGTGGCTGTCGCTATAGCGCCGCGCGTGGTCGTTGCAACCGTGTAAGAATGGATGAGTGGCAGTTTTCAAGATCGGGCTCTTGCCCTAGCGCCGCGCGCATTGGTTTCAAACGTTTGCAACAGTCTTAAGGGTGGACGGTTTGTGTGTGTGCGGTGGTTATCACAATGTGGCTCTTTCTTTAGTGCCGCGCATATTCGGCGTAAATTTGCCTGAGCGCCGCGCGCATTGGTCTTGAAATTCTGCAATCGTTTCCATGATGGAGGGCGGCTCTTTTTCAAGTTGTGGTTCTTGCTGTAGCACCGCGCATATTCGTCTTAAACTGTTACGGCAGTTTCAGTGATGGAGTGTGGGCGGTTTCAGAATTCGCTCTCGCCGTGGCGCCGCGAGCATTTTTATAAACGTTCGCAACAGTTTCAGGGATAGCAGGCGGTTCCTTTCAACATGTGGCTCTCGTCCCGGCGCCTCGCGCAGTCGTTTCAAAAAATTGAAACAGTTCCATAGTGGACAGGGGTCATTTTCAACATGTCGCTCTCGCCTTGCCGCCAAAAGTTTCAATCGCCTCTTGGATGGAAGGTGTTTTTTTTCAAAGTGGGGCTCTTTTCCCAGTGCCGCGAACACGTCTCAGACGTTCGCAACAGTTTCAAACACGAAGCGTCTCTTGTTCTGAAGTGGGGCTTTCGCCTCAGCGCCGCGCGCACTCGTTTTGGAGTGCAGTTTGCTGGACGGATAATTGTCCCCCTTCAAACTGGGGTTGTCGCTTGGGACGGCGCGCGGATTTCGACGACCCGAAGCTTCAACGGACTTTAGCGCGCTGCAAGGGTCCAGGGCGTTGTCCCATCAAAAGCGGATCTGCCGCGTGGGATCTCCTCGACGCTCGTGGCCACGTGTGGCAACCTCGTGCAGTCGTTGCACGGAGGGGGGGGGGTCCTTGTTCTTCGAAAGGGGGATCTCGCTGGACGCCTCGTGGAGCTGGAGGGTCATCGTGTGCTCGCTCTCCTGCCTGAGCGCCACAGAGGTGCGATGCTCCCTTTCCAAGCGGGGCCCTCGCCGACATGGCAGGCCCTCTTGGGCTGGTCTTTCAAGCCGGACGCCTCCTGTAGTGGAAAGGACTTTGTGCAGGGGCGCATGAGGAGGGGACCGAGGTATGAGATCGAGGTCGGTTCGGGGAGGTTAACCCTCATTTTCTTCGTGTTTGTGGGGTGCTCTGGTGCATTCTTCTGTCTTAGGTCCGACCTCTCCCTGCCCACTTCTCTCCTCCCTTGCGGAGAGGGTGGCGGAGCGCAGCACCGCGGGGTCCTGGCAGGTCCTTGGCCTCGCCATCACCACGTTCCTCGGCCCCCTGTCGGAGCACCCGCGGGGGGGGGTGGGCGGGAGCGGAAGCGGCGGCGCAGGCGGAGTCGGCGGCGAGAGGGGGGGGGAAGTTAGAAGCAAGAACCCCTCTCATGAGGCGGCGGGGCTTCTCAGAAGCCCTCGCGCCTTTGAGAAGCTTCCAGTTTTTTCGGGGAAGGCTCAGGGCATTTCTCAGAAGGCCGGGTGACTTCCGAGCCTTCTGAGGAGGCCCTGGGCTCGCAGTCAACGGAGGGGTTGGGGGACGAGGAGGTTGACTGTTGATGATGCCCGCCGTGGTGGTGATGATGACGATATTCGTGATATGGCCGTTGCTGGTGCTACGCTGGATCATATGGCGGTGATGGTGCTGACGGTGGTCATGATAATGACGATGATGCTGTTGCGGTTGACGACGCCGAGGATGTTTGAGATGGTGCTGCTGATGAACACTGTTGGCCACGATTGTCGGATGATGATGCTGATGAAGATGACGATGACGGTGTTGATGAGGGTGGTCACGGTGGTGATGATGCTGATGATGATGCTGATGATGATGGTGGTTACGATGATGGAGGTGGAGTTTCTGATACTGATGGTTGTGGTGGTGACGATGATACCGACAATGGTGATGATGACGATGATGATGATGCTGCTGATGATGATGATACTGATGGTGATGATGATGGTGATGATGATGACGACTCTGAGGACAATGACGACGATGGTGATGCTGATGATGACGATGTTGCTGACGATGATGGTTATGACGAAAACGCTAATGATGATGCTGATGATGATGCTGATGATGATGATGATGGTGATGCTGATGATGATGGTGGTGCTGCTGATTGTGCTGATAATGATGATGATGCTGATGATGATGATGATGATGATGATGATGATGATGATGATGATAATGCTGATGCTGATGTTGCTGATGATGACGGTGATGATGATGCTGATCATGCTAATGATAAGGATGATGACGCTGCTGCTGATGATGGTTATGATGATGGTGCTGATGATGACACTTGTGACGATGATGGTGATGGTGATTGTGAGGTTGCTGATGATGGTGATGATGATGAATATGCCGATCATGACTTTAAGGACTTTGACGACGTCGACCATGATGTTGATTCTCCTGATGGTGCTGATGGTACTGATGATGTTGATGATGATGGTGATGCTGATGCTCATGATGACGGTGTTGTCGCTGACGATGACGATGCTGCTGATGATGCTGCTGCTGATGATGATGGTTATGATGATGCTGATTATGCTGATGATGAGGATGCTAATGATGATGCTGCTGATGATGATGCTGCTGATGATGATGATGATGATCATGATGCTGATGACTCTGACGACGATGATGATGATGATGCTGATGGTGATGCTGACGATGATGCTGCTGATGATTATGATGATGCTGCTGCTAATGATGCTGATGCGGCTGATTATGATGACGATGCTGCGGCTGATGGTGATGATGGTGATGATGGTGATGACGGTGGTGATGCTGCTGATGATGATGCTGCTGACACCCTTCCCCGCGCAAGGCATTGCGGGCTGCTCGAAGGAGACCGACAGCTGCTGGACTCAGCGCGGCGCAGGACGTGCTCCCATGGCTCATTCTGCGCCCCCCCCCCCCCTCGAGGGCCCCGAGCAGGATCTGTTCGAGAAGTGCGCCGACGACGACGCGGAGGCAGGGCGGGTCGCGCGGTCGCTGACGGAGCCGCGCGCTCCAGGCTCGCAGGCTCGGAGTCTGCTGCGGGCCTGACTACTGTCGAAACCATTCAGCTCGGGTGCGCGGCTAGTCCAGGGCTTCGCAGCGCGCTCTGGCCTTCGCCCTGCGCCGCCTGGTGGCCATTGCTGAACGGCCCGTCCACGTCTTCGTTGGCAACCGCACCGTCGTCACTGATTCGAGGTCCTCTTCGCAGGAAAGCCACTTCAAGTTATTGGAGCTCAGGCCAATCTCTGGCAGTGGCCTTAAACCGTCACGCCGACGAGCTCGCCGCTTCCAGAGCACGTCTGCCCGTCCTGCGGCCAGATGTCGTCGACGGGGCCAAGTGGCGGCGCAAGTTTACAGCGTCTCACCACGTCGCCGCTGTCGCAGTCCATAGGCGTCGCCACCTCGCTTTGCGCTTGCCGGGCAGGCGCGCGGGATGCTCTAGGGTTGACCTCGGCAAGATGAAGCCCAACCCGCTCACCGTAGATCAATGAAGCGACGAGCCACCAGGCTCGCTTGGCGAGCCCTGGCAACCGCAAGGCCCACCGGGGCCGGAAAGGGGGGGGTGCAACCGACTGCTTTGAAAGAGAAGACGAGGGCCTTTGGGGTTCAGGTGCGGCCTTGGACAACGATAGCGAAATGACTGCTACTTCGTCAGGATATCACGATGACGCCGGCCACGACGCCGACGACGAAAGCATGGAGAGGCGGCGGCGATGGCAGTCGGGGCGGATGTCCACCAGGACCTCGCGTAGACACCAGGTCGTTCCCCCCTAGCACCAGGGCGCGGGGATTTGCGACCGCGCAATTACCCAAGAGGGAGTAGGCACCAGTGGAACACCAATGCAGTGAACGGATCGCAGAAGCGCCCTCGCGCAACACCTCGTTGCTGCCAGGCAGCAGTCATATCGGGAACGTGAAACGTTTCTCATTGCTAGCATCGCGGCGCTGCAACAGCGCGTCATATACCTTCAGTCCGCTTGGGACGACTTGCGGCAGGCCTTCCGTCCGACCGCTTCTCCTTGGGGTTCGCCTCCAAACTCGCCGCTGGCACGCTAATCCTAGCTGTCTCTTTGGGTGCCCTGCGAGAGCAGCTTGCAAGTGTCCCGCGGCTTTTGCAGTGGGCCGCTGCGGGGGATGCTGCAGGGTGGCGCCACGGTTGAGGGGGCGTGTCGCTGTTTGATCGCTAGAAACTCTTTTTTGTATTTACTTGGGGACCCCTTAATCCGCGCTATGGTGTCTCTTTCCGTGCACCTCTTCGTTTTGCGGCATTTCCCGCCAGCGCGAGGTAGGCCTGAGCTGTGTGATTCCAGAAGACTCGCTGCTCTTCTCGCTCGCTCTCTGCTCTTGCTGCTCAGCTGTCCAGGGTCTCTCTGCCGCCGCCCGTTTTGGCTCTAATAATTTTAGGGCCCTTGGCCGATTGAGCTACGACCCGCTCTGCGAGCGTTTCCAAAACGATAGATCCGCGATCTTTCCATATCACAGTGGTAGCTTGGAGCGAGCTATCCCGGCCCGCGGGGCCGTGCATATCCAAGACGACGTCCGCGACGTCGCACTCCATATTGGAATCGAGGCCCAGCGGCTTCCTCGCGCTGTTGCTCAGCGCCTACGCCAGCGTCAGCGACGCCAGCACCAACGCCAGCGTCAGCGACGCCAGCACCAACGCCAGCGTCAGCGACGCCAGCACCAACGCCTACTACGCTTACACCCCTGCCAACTCCAACGCCAGCGTCAGCGACGCCAGCGAGTACGCCTTCGACTCCTGCTCTTTCAAGAACGCCAGCGCCAGCGACGCCAGCGACTACGCCTTCGTCTCCAACTCCAAGAACGCCAGCGTCAGCGACGCCAGCTACTCCATCTCCTTTCCGACCCTCAGCAGCGACGACAGCTACTTCTCCTACGCCTGTGTCAGCGACGCGGCCTACTGCTCCTACGACGGTGTCCGCGACGCCAGCTACTTCTCCTACGACGGTGTCAGCGACGCCAGCTACTCCCTCTACGCCAGTGTCAGCGACGCGGCCTACTTCGTCTTCGACAAGATGGGGGATAACTTCAACTATGCCAACAACGCCATCCCTACTTGGAATGGCGATCCAGCTAAATGGAGAGATTACAAGCAGGAGGTCAAACTTTGGAAGCTCAGCGAGAACCTCGCCGTGGCCCACAGTCTCGCGTCGAAGCTCGTGCTAAGGCTCAGCGGGACGGCGCGGAGTGCAGCGCTCAGCATGACGGAGGCGCAGCTGCACCCGGCAGCCGCAGCGGACATCGAGGACGCCGACGATAAGAAGCGCAACAGGAATCAGGTCGGCATCGAGAACGTCTTGCAGCACTTGGAGGCCAGCTTAGGTCAGCAGAAGCCAGTGCAGAAGGGCGAGGCGCTTGATAAGTTTTTCGAGTCGACGCAGCATCGCCGACGCAGAGGTGAACGCATGACTGATTGGCTCATCCGTTTCGAGACGGGACTACAGCAGCTACGCGAAAACGAGGTGGACCTCAACGCGCTGGACGACGTTGCAGGATGGTTCCTGCTGCGGAAGGCCGGGCTCGCAGCGGAACGCCGTGGGCGTGTTGTGGGCGACCTGGCCGACGCGCGCTACGGCTACCAGCGCATCCGCGGACTGCTGGTCAGGATGTTCCCGGACATCCACGCGTCGGAGCGCCGCGCCCTGCCGCCGAGACCGTGGAACAAACCAGTCGCGCCCGCAAGGCGGCTGGCGCAGCGCGTCCTCCAGCCGTGGAGGGCGCTCTACTAATGTTGTCGACGAGCCAGACGACGAGAACGACGAATGCCAAGAGGAGGATGACGAGGACGAGGCCGACGTACAGGACATTGTCCGTCAGGAGCTCGAAGCCTTCAGCTTCGAGCTCGAGTCATCCAGCGTGGACATCTCCGAGCTGTTCGACGGCGACGACTCCGCCAAGGTCGAAGCTGCCGCGGCGGAGCTTGCCGCCATTCCCGAGGCCATGGCCGCCATTAGATCGGCTCGGGAGGCCCTGAAGGGCCGCGGCAAGTCGAACAAGTCCGCGCCGACCCGCCGACCGACCAAGCTGCAGGGCCGGGTCGACCAGCGCAAGAAGAATTCGACGTGCTGGGACTGCGGCGAGGCCGGGCACTGGACGTGGGGCAGCCAATGCCCCACGCCGGGCGCGCGCAAGTTCGCGCCCAAGGACGGTGAGCCCAAGGGCGGTGGGCGCGGAGGCCGTGGAGGTCGTCCGCAGCCGACCAGGTGGTCCAGTTCGCGGACGAGGAGATCGCCCTGCACCCGCCGGGCCCCGTGACGCCGCC